GAACCTGAAACAGTCTGTGAGCAGGGGTTTTCAGAAAATGAACCTTCCCACCGTTTCAGAGGGAAACCGCTGGCATGGTGAAACAGCTTGTTCAAACTGTACAGCCGTGTCAGAAACCCTAAAAGAATTCAACTTGCTCACGCTCACATTACACATGGGGCAACTGCCAGCTGCGAGGGCAACAGGGATCTGCTCCCGCACCCCAAGGCAGGCACATGGGGAGCAGAGGTGGATCCAGGGAGGTGCACTGGTGGGTGCACTTGCACCCCTCTGTGATTCCTGGTCCACCCAAAATTTAAAACCAGCTTCCTGGACAGGACGGCAACGTGTCTAGCCAGGCGGTGCTAAGGGGATCAACTGACTTCATAGCTCATTAAAATCTACCTGATCCCTTCTAAACTCTTCATTCCACAGGGTTTAACAACCTTCTCCCCTGTTTAATGGTCTTGATGTTCCACCAATCAAGCTACCCTTTGTTCTAAAATTCTGCTGTCTGTTTGCTGCTCCTGGTAATAAAGCTCCTATTTCACAGCCCGGAAGATTGTTTGTAACTCAGTCCAATGAAGTTAGATTTGTTCACTCTTAAACTGAATAATTCAGTGCCAGACCCCTCGTGTATTAGTAAAATTTCTGGTTTATTTTTAACTGGAGAAGACATACATGTTGTTTTATACACGATGATATGTCTCACTATCTGCAACCCCCCCTTTTCAAAATTCCAGGTACGCCTATGATGAGGGTATGTGATAAACTTCCAGAGTAGGGGTTAACAACCTTTTTAGACTCAAGGCACCCCTCGATACGCTCAGAGCAGCCGTCAGAAAATACCAGCTCTTAGTTTTCACTCGTTTTTCAACTACAGACAAATACTAGAGCAATTCTTTCGTTGCAAAGAACTCAGGCAAACCACAGCAGGTCAGAATGTTTTTAACACTGTGGATTCCTATTTGAAATCTCTGGGTTTATCTTGTGAATCATGTTTGCCCACCTCGCAGTGCTAATACTGCATAGCGCCCCGCCGTATCCTTGAAAGGACCTCGAAGGCACCCCAGGGCACCGCATCCTCCTGGCTGAGAATCACCTTCCCAGTGAATATGAGAGAGGAAAGAATCGGAAAGCAGGAGGAGGGAGAGAGGAAACAAATGGAGGAAAAAAGAAGAAAAGACAAAAAGAACAATTCAGCAACATCTCTGCTGGAAAAGGGATAGAGCATGGCCAGAGGATACAGTCCTAAATCTCATATCTGTGGGGGCTCAAGTGAAAGAGTATAAAGCTCTTAAACCACTGCAGGTGATGGAAAACCATGTGGATATAGTGCCATAAAGCCAAATTATTTTTTTACAATGGAATCACTGGGGTACGCAGCAACAGAACAAGCTGAAAATAGGACTATAAATGCAAAGAAGTTCGAGAGCCACTGTCCCAAGGGAATGGTGCTGTATCCCCAAGCAATAATCTGCATTTAAGCATGGGGCCCTCCTATCTCCTGTACTCTGAGCGTCTCACTTTTTCAATGCCTCATTGTAACCTGACCTCCAGCATAGAGAAGTCTACCTAAGAAACACTAACCAAGACCAGGCTGGTCAAAAACCTGCATTCACTAGGGCAAATTAATATTCTGGTTTCAAATGTTGTGGATAAATGTACTGCTCACAGAAAAGAAGTTTAAACTGCAGTGGCCATGCGCGTTTTCCCTAGACAGTTTTGCCAATGCCATTCCACTCCCAGGTGCAGCACCCATCCCATTTTACCCCTTGGACTACCTCACACCTGATGATGGCCAGTGGTGGGTGGTTTCTGCTATGTCAGGCCAACCTTTCTTGCCTTGCAAACAAAGGGGGAATGGGAAATGGCTCATGGACTTCACAGAGCTTTGGACCAGGCCCTCGATGAATAAAAGCTGAGCATCATGAAACGAGTTCAAATTACTATGCCAGACAGTGGGAAATCACGCTGTCTGGCATGTGCCACCAAATTCATTTCCACCTGTGACCTAATAAGAGTTTGAAGCTAGCAGCTCTTCAGTTCTTGAATTCTACTGCATTAACCTCACTGCACCTCGCTGCCCTGATCCAATTTGCTGTGCAACGGCATAACCTTCTTACATGATTACCTGATAAAGAGCTAAGCCTGCTAAATGAATAAACATGAACACCAGCAACAAAGAGATAACAAATGGAGCAATCTACCGCAATAAATAATTCCGGTGTGCATATGCTTCTGCCAGCACTTTGCCCCATATGCAATGTGCTGAGTCCCAAATAAAATATTTCTCTTCAAGGGCCGCATTTTTCAGCTCCTACCCCAAAGCTCCTCAAATCAACCGGGCCTGGTTGTGCTAAAGCACCAGCCCATTTGCTGCAGGTGGTAAGGAGAGGTTCACAGCACTCACGAACAGGCCCCTTTGGGTGACTGAGGAATTGCACAGAGGGATGCTGAAGGGAATCCCACCCCATTTCTCACTGAAAGGAGATGGTTGATGCAGGACTAAAGAGGAGTTTAAGTAAAGAAAACTGAGGCCCTCCCCTAGAAGAAACAAGGACAGGCTTGTTCTGAGTGCTGTATGCTTAAAGAGTTATTCTGCTCCAGAATAACAGGAGTCAAATCCACAAAGAAGTTTCTGCTGCCTTGGCATCTAATGAGCATCAACCCTCACATAAGACTTTGCTCAATAATTGCATGCGATTTTTATGCAGAATGTCCCCAGCCCTCTTTTTATCCCTGTTCCTATCATGTATGAGCCACTTCACCTTTTCTGTAGCATCCCACGCAGTGAGTCAATTACTTTAACCCGAATTTGTTCTGCAGACAGCGGCAAACTAGGAACAGAAACAGAAGCTTCCTTAGGGAGAGATCTTGCCCTTCTCCTCCTCCTCTTCTCATTATCGTCATCTTAAAAAGAAAAAAGGAAGCACCAAGATCTCAGACGCTCTCCTTGAAATGCTGGCAGGAGAACCACAGGGTTAAGCCAGTGGCTCTTAACCTTCTTTAAACTCATGGTACCCCTTGGAAAATGTCAGATTTTACTTTTCGCTCAGTATCTGACTCCAGAAAAATACTCGAACAATTCTTCTGCTGCAAAGAATTCAGCAAGATCACAACAGGTCAGACTGCGTTTGACGCTGTGGATTCCTATTTGAAATGTCTGGGTTTATCTTGTGAATCACGTTGGCGCACCTCGCAGTGCTAACGCTGTGTGACACCCTGCGGCACCCCTGAAAGGGTCTCAAGGCAACCCGGGGTGCCGTGGCACCGTGGCTGAGAATCGCTGGGTTAAGCTTTTGTTTGGATAGAGCTGTACAAAAGGATTTGCATTTTACCGTGCAATAAAAAGACTAATTCTTTTAATTAGTTTTTTGGGGGGAACATGAACTCAAAACGATGGAAGAATTCCCCATGTTGTACCTGAAGCCACATTCTTGAAAACAGTGGCTCTGAGTTTCAAGCAGCTAGATAATGCCAGTGCAAACGGCACTACTTTCTGTCTAGCAGCATGGACTCCCAACATAAAAAGGGATCCTGGCATTCCACAGCAAGGGTATTGGGTAAGTTGCTATAAACACAGAAGGACACAGCACCACGCGCTGTATAACTCAACTGCACCGTTCATTAATTCTTCTAACTGCTACTTATACTGACTTATCTTAACTGTTTCGATTCTGGCTCTCCACTTCTGTATCTTGGTAGCCATGATCATCCAACGATATAGTAAAATTGCATCACAGTGCTGTGACATGACTCAGTGCAGAGTAATCCCTGACATACCTGGCACCCTGTAACACAGGTGCTGATGGTAAACTGGTTAATTGGTTTACGGCTTAAACTAGGAAGGGTGGCCACAAAGAAGACAAGGAGTAGAGAAGACTGGACAGACACCTGACTGGGGTCGTCTGGCCCCAGCGCTCTTTCCTGCCCAGGGCAGGGGGTCAGACTCGATGACCTACTGAGGTCCCTTCTGACCCTAACATCTCTGAATCTATGACTTACGGAGAGGCATGGAAAAAAGTCACATTCGTGAGTGAAATGTTGCTAAATTAAAATCCAAGGCAAAAAAGGAAATACTAAGCTGCAGCAGCTTCACTCAAAGAACATTATAGTCTTGGAAAAACACAAAGCGGACTTGAAGCTGATGTGAACACAGACCTTCCACGCCTGCAAGGAAAGCACGTGCACCTTTCGTATAAATTGCTACAAGCAGCAGCAGATCCTTGTGACCTATTCAAGGGTTTCCAGTAGGTCTTGTCAGGGGGTATCTACTGCCACCTCCCAGCTTGTCTGTAATGACAGAACAGATCGTGTGATATCATTACCTTAACAAAGCAAAAGCAAGGGGTGACCCTCTGGAGCAAAGATTTCGCTCTATTCGTGGGACAGGTGAATGAGCAGATCGCTCCAAAGCTGTGACCTGTGGCGTTCGGTTACAGCGTCCCAATACCGTTCCTTCCATTGCACACGCTGGAAAATTCTCCCTGACATCATTTAATCCATCCAAGGAGCAGCACTGCTTTATCTTTTTTAGGATTAAGGTCTAATCTATTTATAGCAACCGGAGGCTGCATGTGCTTCAGGACGAGACTGCTGCTCATCTGCTACCTGGGGAATTATGGGGCTGCGGTTATAAATAAAACAAAGGTCACCTACACATCAATCAGCAGAAAAGCAAGATCTTCCTTGCTAGCTGTAGAAATGCTACCAACAAAGTTAGACCACCGCAGGGAACTCTTAGCGATCCCCTGTGGCAACTGCCTTTCTGCTGACAGACAGTGCCGATAAGTGAAACAACTTCATTTTTGTACCGCCTGCTAAGACAGCAAGTGCCCGAGTCAATTCTGCTGGCTTTACTAACGAAGGGCCCGGTACTTACTTGTGACCTCAGTGGATTCCCTGCCTGAGGGAGAACTAGTCAGTGTGAGCCAGGGGGACAGGGCTAGACTCCAAATGAATTGTTATTCTTGCTTTCTCTGCAGACCCAGATGCTAGGAGCAAGTTGGGTTCACTGCCTTTTCAAGTAGTGCCAGCAGAATTCAACCCCCAGGCAGAAACTTTATTATTGGTGATAAACGGAGGCAGAAGGAACACGCCTGAACTGTCAGACTCTAAGCGGAGACGCCAGACATTGAAGAAAACTCCTTTCAACTTATAAACCGAGCAAGCATGCTTTAGAACTTGGTGGGCGTGTCTACACGTGCATTAAGGCGCTTTTGCTAATGTGCATTAAATGTAGTGCCTCCAATGTGAGGTACTAAAGAAATGAACACAAGGCTGCCTTAACACACAGTAATGAACGTGCACGGTTTTTAAGTGATGCTTAACGTGCAGGGGCCTATTTCACTGCGCGTTAGCATAATTGCGGGGGTTTTTATGTGACGCTTTGATGAGCAATAAAATAAACTACTGCACATTAAAGCATAGGTGTAGACGCGCCCAGTGAGACTGAAAAGAAAGCCCCAATCTGACTTGACAGCCTGTCTTCTGTGCATAACAGCACTTGAACAGTTCAGAAACCTTGAAGCATTTTATCATCTTACTGCTAGTCCAGTGATAATAAGCTCGCTGCTTAACAATCCTGCTATTCTGGGGGTGGAGGATCCATGCCTCTTGAAGTTCCTTCCCCAAAGAGAAAACACAGCTAGCAAATTCTCCTTCGTGTAGAGGAGTAGGAGGATGGACACAGGGATTCAAGCTGCCTGAATAATATTTCAGGGTTTCTGCTGCTGTAATTACATTATTGTTCTAAGCGCAAGTCTCAGGATGGGCGTCATTACGCCATGAAACAGTCACACCATGAGCTCAGGCTTTGCTACGCAACTCTGACTCACGACTCCCAGACCTGTGACAGTTATCTGCTATTCAGGCAGCCTATTCAGCAGCGAATGCATCACACTAACCCATGCAGGTGCTCAGTGCTGTGAACAAATGGATTCAATGTGAACGGTGATTCAAATGCAGATCCTGCAAGGACTAGCCAGGGGCTGGCTCAGCCCAATCTCAGTCTATAATGGCAGAGAATAGAGACGGTGCAACCTAATGCCAGTATGCAGACAATGAGAATCCTCCTAATTGGATCCTCCCTCTTCTTTCCTTAAGTTGTTTCTCAAAAGTGAACTAATGAATATCAAAAGTTGTCATTTGGCTTCAGGTTCAACACCCCTTTGAGGGAAAAAATCTCCGTCTCGTAACTACTGTTTTCTCCTCTCTAAATGCTCAGGTAGAAGATACCTGTGCTCCAATTGGTGTCTTTTTCCTACATGGACAGTTTACTTTACAAACATAAGGGCTACAATCTTAATTATCTGAATAATTACAGCTTAGTTTCCAAAGCACAAGTAGCCAGATTCTCAGGAAAAGTAATGGTAACCCAAGCTGGCAAAAGTTAGCCCAATTTGACCCCTGGGAAAAAGCTAATGCATCACTAGGCATGCTCTTTTCTGCTCCATAACAAGTTGAAACCCCTCTTGTTCAGCAGTCCTTGTGAAGGATGGGCTGCCCCATGGAAATAATTCCTCTGGATGGACTGCCACTGTAGGAAGCAGAAGATGATCTGAACACAACCCTGTAGCTGCGTGTACTCCCTCTGGCGGACTCAGGAGCCCTCTTTGTATCAAAACCCATCTATGTATTATACCTCTGGAGGGTCTGTCTCCAGAGACCACAAACAAGCCTTTCACATTCAGGAAAAGATCTTCTCCAAACAATGAACAGAAACCAATCTCTGGTTTCCCTTCAGTCCTCAGACCCAGAGAGAGTACATGGTCTCGGGCTGCAGGTTTCAGCCTCGCAGCCTTCCTCTCTCTGTCTGGCCCTTTAAACCCGTAAAGCAAACCTCGGAGAGAGGCAACTCTGGCATGGTGTTTGTCCATCATCTTACCCACCTCCTCTCTCCCCAGCCTCCCTTCCTGGGAGCCTTTTACTTCCTGCGGCCAACCCATTATCCGTATCAGCCGGCCAGTCTTCCTAAGCAGGCTTGCAATCACCTTGCTTGCCTGCAGCTGGGCGGCAGCTTCTGAGGTTTTCCACCTGTTACACCTCCTTTCCGGCAGGCTTGCAACCTGCTCCAAACCCAATACAACAAAGAACACGAACAAGCCCAGCTAACGACAGTGAGAGCACAATGGCTAGGCTGTCTGGCCACCTGTCCTGCGTTTCAGTGTGTAACAGCTTACCTGAGTTCAAAGGCCTTTGCCAAAGCATGTGTGCTGCATACGGTTTCTGGAGCCTCTTTGTTTTCTTAGGCAGCACCGCGTTACAGTCGCTGTCTTTAATTTCCTTCTATGGCAAGGAAAAGATAAGAGAAAAGAAGAAAAAAGGGGATGAAACGACAAAGGGATGTGGGAGAATTCATGACAGATGTGCACAATCACTCTCACTAGCACAACATTCAGCGACGCAACGGCAAGTACCCAACTGCAGGCACGTATCCGACCCGAATCAGGCACTGCTTTGAATTACTATTTTTTTTAACCTGCAACCTTCACAAAGCCAAAACTCCCATTAAAATCAACGTGTGTTTTGTCAAAGTAAAGACCACGGGATTCAGCCCTAGACAGCTCCCATGTCTAAAGAGACTTCTGAAGTCAACAAGCCCATTATCAGCCAGGATTTCCCCCCTGCAATAATCCAGCTGGGATTTTATCTAATCTGCTGGTGACTCATTCCCTTCCCTAAACTATGCATCCCATGTCCTACACACCCAAACGCAGTTCAGTGTTCTGCTTAGAGTATCTTTTGTTCATAGTCTCTATCTTGAGAGACTGTGGGTAGTGTCAGCACATTGCTGTTTGCTTTACTGTTTCTTTCCTACTGAAAACAACCTCTCCTTCCTATTTATACCTTCCAAATACCTGAACAGTGGCATCATATCCTTGTTTTGCAGCAGGACACCTGTCCACTAGCAAGGCCAGTTCAAGCAGAACTGGGATTTCCTGCATATGCATTCAACTGGATTCCCCCAGCCAGCTCCACGATCCAAAATACAATGTGCAAGCCCCCCCTCCCGCTGCCCTTGAGGTTGCAGCTGTGAAGGCATTGTTCGAAGATGACAAAAAGCATCACATGACAGTCAGCAGCTGGTAACAATTTTGGTTTGCTAGGGACCTGGGGCAGACTCAAACTAAACGATCTTGAGGTAAGAGGCAGAAAAGCACACAATCAGCCTTCTGGGTCCTCGCTCTGTGCTTCACTTTAAATTTTTGTTTGGGAAATCAGAGATGTCCCCAACTCCCTTGCCCCCTGGGTTAGGTCAGGAGGATGCTGTGAAAGGTAAAATACCTGAGCAGGCTGCAAATCAACAGATCCCTCATTTGACACATGCTCTGATCCCTCCAGCCTCGCTCTCTTACGTGCCCTCGGAGCCTTGCTGCTGGTCACTCCCCAGTTCGGCTTAGACATTTTCTAAAAGAGGAAAACATCACCAGTGACCACGACGTTTCTAAAATGGAAAGCAAGTGTTCAATGAAGCACTCTCTGTCCCCTAGTTCTACCTGCCCCTGCTGAAACCACGTTGAGCAATCCTATTTTCATACTTCTCCTTGACTTCTGCATACTGAAGTCACCGTCCCTGATGCCAAAAGGACAACGGGAGGCATCCTCTCCTTTCCGAATGGAGGCAGGCTGCCATCACAGCACTGATAGCAACAGGGGGTTGGGAGACCGGCACTTAGCTTTGAACCCATGTAAAAGCACAAGGCACAAATCATTATTTACTGGTCAATGTACACATTTCATTCAACATGTAGTTAAATGCTGAACTACTAGCATGTTTTTGAGGCCAAGAAATTTATAAGATTCAAAGAAAAAATTGTGCGTTTGTAGGATAGCAAGACACCCCAGCATGAATGCCCCCCCCAAAAAAGAGCCTGGGGACAAAAAGCACTTCATGATTCGCATCTTGAACCAATCTTTATTATGGATTAGGATGACACCTTGATGAGGGGGACAAGCTATCACACTTCTTTCTAGAGCAGGCTTCTTACGCCTGCCTCTGAAATGTCTGAAGAGCCTCCGAAGAGGCCACTGTCCGAGACAGGACACTGGAGGAGATGGATCATGTCATTCCTGTCCCACTGAGACTGGAAAAATGGTATTTTAGTAGTCCCTAAAATATAACCACCAAACAGATGAAAAGGGATGATTCTGGGCCCACTCCGCTCTACTCCACGCATGCAGAGGAAGATCTCCCGGAGATCTCACACCCTGATCAGGCACGAGGAAGTCCTGTTCATCTAGGAGCCTCTTGCTGAGAATCTGTTTCCTTCAGCCTCGCTTCAACAGCGGTTTCCTAACATCCTGCTTTCACTGAGAAAAAAACCCAAAAACAGGTCACCACCTGCTCTTGCTACCGGTACCCGGGCTACATGACAAAGAGAGGCTGACCTGCTCCTCCTATTCCTCTCTGGAAGGGCTTTACCCACCAGACCGGAGAGCACAAATTGACTCCCAACTTCTTCTCTGGCAGCAAGGCTACCAACTATGGTGGTGATTTTTCACCCAGGGATGACCGTCTCTTAGGAATTAGACAATGGC